CAGCGTTCTGTTACTAGTGGCACACACGGCTCCTTCCTTTTAACATATAAAAATGGCTAGCTTTTAGCAGTGAAGGATCAAAATAGATAAATTTTATAAGGACAATCTACTATGCATTTTAAATCAATATCACACCCAACAGCTATGAACGGGGATGTTAAGAGGGATCCATGGAAAAGAGGCTTAGCATTTACTTGGCATGTCTAGGTATATCCCCTAGTTTTTTTCAGCTCCAAAAGTGTCTTTTCAATGAGTCTTTTTGTTGGAATAATTGCACTAGAATATAAGAAAATGTATTCAGTTTTGATCAATGCCGGCTAAAAATTCATCTAACAGTCTTAACAGCTGAACACTAACCCATACAAAACCATAAAAAATGATACAAACATTTCCAATTATAAATCTAGAATTTCAAAGAAGATTGGGCCATAGCACAAAAAAATTAAACAATCTAGAAGAGTCAGTTACTTTCCAATAGGCTTCTGTCACAATACTAAAGAAAAACTGCATGGAACTCACCTGACATCCAGTGCAAATCACACTAAGTTGAGACACAGCTCCTTCTCTAAGCGAGGCCTGCTCCTGTATGACTATGGCCCCCATTGAGCCTGTGCATCGGTGCATCATTTTAATCATTTCACTCAAGTTTGTCATGTCCATGATCCTATAGCCGACGGCAGGTATGACATCGTCCACAACCCCCTCAGGTATGAGTGTGGCAGGTTCACAATGTTCAGAGGCCTTCAGGAGCTGGCCAAGAAGGTTTTCCTTTTGAGATTCATTCTGCAAGGTGATAGATGGTGTGGACATGTTCCTCACTGGCAATATACTATCTGGAATTATGAAGTTATTTTCTTCTGATTTAGGAAAATTGACAAGTCTTGAGTCTTTTCTCTTCTTCCTTCTGTTCACTTTCTTGCATTCCTCAGCTGCCATGTCCTGCTGCTGTTGCTGCTGCTGCTGCTGTTGGTTGGGTGTCGTGCCGCGGCTTCTCCGGCTTCGCAAGACAAGGGTGGATTTCTGGTCCTTTTTCCCCATTTGGTCTTCCAAGGTATTGTTAGGCTGATGGTGTATATTATCAAACTGCTGGTGCTGTGTGACTCCAGATATGATTGAAGCTGCACGGATGACATCTGCAGGCTCTGTATTCTGAGCTTGCACACAGTCTCTCTCCATCTTCTCATTTTTTGGGTTACCTAAACTGGCAAGCGTTAGTGCTACTTCGCTATCTGTGTCCGTGGAAGAGTGGTAGACTGCAGACATGGAGAGATGTGCCATGTTTGCAACCGTTGTGACAGAGGAATCATAACAAGAAGTAGATATCAAGCTGAACTCTGAACCGATGGGCATCATGCCAGATGAATGACCTTCTACCTTATTAAAACTGTTTGCATCTCTATTTTCCAGAACAATATTTGGGCTCACTCCATCATTGGAGTTGATCTGCTCGATGACCATTCCTTCAGAACTGTCTTCCTTTTTCTGTGGCTGATGTAATACATATAATGGATGAGACATATCCTGTGACTGATGAGCATAAACAGTCTCACTCACAGATGCTTGCAGTAAGTCGACTCCTTCATTATTCTTTTCACCTATGCTCTTTCCCAGCGGCACTGACACGAGTGAATCAAAAGGAACGATGTTACCCGCTGGCACCTCGTAGACCATAATTGGTGCTGGGTGGAGGCTCTCATAATAATGCTGGGCATCAAGGGGCAGAGTTCCTGCACCACTGGTTATGCTGCTCAACTGGAGATCGTGTGGGTCGTGGCCCTCATGAGGAGCTTGCTGGCTTGAAAACCCTGGTAGCTTGATCGTTTTGTCAGAACTTATCACCCCTGACGCATCCTCCAGGAGATTGGCCTGAATGAGGGAGATTCTGCTTTAGTTTGCGTTTGAGACTGTGAATGAACAATCCTGCAATCACGTTTGTTCTAAATATTGGCTAAAAAGGAAAATAGAAAACATCACTGAAATCATGAAAAACATTACAATATTAAGAAAAGCAGATTTCCTGCCATGTAAAATATATTGGCATATCAAATTCACCTGTATATTGATAAGGATTTTTTGGGGATGAGGGGAAATTCATATAGCTACTTCTCTTCATTATAAAGAAACGTTTTAATACACACATACCAATAGTTTTCATTCTTTTTGCATTCTTCTACAACAAAAGAAATTTTCCCAACCTGTATCACATCCTTTACATTTAACCCTAAGGTGAAGGGGCCTGATTTATTTGTGATGTAATATTAAGCATTAGTCTAGACTTTGTGGCTTGGCCTAAGCTGTGTACAGTCATCCCATCCGCTGCGAGTCATGACGGCTATAGCCATACCTGTCATGAAGACGTTAAAATACAAATTCTTGGAGTGATCACAATTGTTCCTGAAAAGGTGTGACTATGATAGCGAATTCTGCTTTTTCCATCTCTACACTCAAAACTTTTCACTGTTGTATAACTGTTCCACACTGTTCTTATCCTAACCAGCTA